ATTACAAAATAAACAAATCTGAGGGAGGTCCACATGTAGTACCTATATATGTAATATCAAAACAGTTGAACCTGCGGTTTTCAACAAGAAGTCGTAAATATCACTTTTTCCCAAACATTACAAAAATATTCATCAAAATTAGAAAATTGAAGATATCATCATGAAATGAACAAATCTGAGTTAGAACCACATGTAGTACCTATATATGTAATATCAAAGCAATTGGACCTGCGGTTTTCAACAAGAAGTCGTAAATATCACTTTTTCCCAAAAATTACAAAAATATTCATCAAAATTAGAAAATTGAAGATATCATCATGAAATGAACAAATCTGAGTTAGAACCACATGTAGTACCTATATATGTAATATCAAAGCAATTGGACTTGAGGTTTTTAACAAGAAGTCGAAAATAGCACTTTTTACCAAAAATGACAAAAATATTCACCAAAATTAGAGAATTAAAGATATCATTACAAAATGAACAAATCTGAGAGAGGTCCACATGTAGTACCTATATATGTAATATCAAAGTAATCGGACTTGAGGTTTTTTACAAGGAGTCGAAAATATCACTTTTTACCAAAAATGACAAAAATATTCACCAAAAATAGAGAATTTGAGATTTTGACATGAAATGAACAAATCTGAGAAAGAACCATCCAAGGTACTTGCATATCAAATTTGAAAACATTCTGACTTGCGGTTTCGAAGAAGAAGTTGAAATTGTAAAGTTGATGCCGGCGACGACAACGACGGACAATCAGTAATATGAACAGCTCCGCTGTTCGACAGGGGAGCTAAAAAGTGAAAATAAAATTTCTAGGAGAGATTACCTCTGATACAAGCACAAAACCATTAATATTTTCAACAGATATGGATATGGTTACCATGCAAACAACAATTTCGGGAATGATTTTTCATTTATAACTCAAAGGGTTATGGATAGATTCTCATAAAAATTCTAGGAGAGGTTGTTCTTGATACAAGCATAAACCCATTAAATTGTGGTACAGATATGTGTATGGTTACCATAGAAGCAGCAATTTTGGGAATGATTCACATAAAATTATCAGCAGGGGTGTCATGAACACTTGTAGTAATGACTCATAAATAATTCATCACTTGGTAATGAGAATTTTGAAATTTTTTTTCATCTGTAACTCAAAAACAAAGATGGAATCTAATGAAATTGTTAATGATAACATTTTGGTAGAGATGTAGATCTAGTTGCCATGGAAACAACAATTTCGGGAATGATTTTCATATAACAAACAATTATTAATGGATTTTCATAAAAATTCCTTTGACCCAAATTTACAATAATTTCCATTGGTTGTGACTAAATGTTTTGAAAAATATGTAGAAAATTATATAGGTTTAGTTTGTAAATGGGTTATGTCTAAAATAAAAAGTTATCCTCAAAATGCACTGTGAATTTCTTCATAAACAACATTTAAGAAAAGCAGATAAATGCATACAAAATTCTAGCAGAAAAATAAATAAATTGAAAAATGATAACAATTTTATATTTTAATTGATTTTTGTACAAAATGACACATACTTTTTTTATGTCGGAAAGCTATGGATTATGTTATTTAGGTATATACATTTCCTAACAAAAAAAGTGTATTAACAAATTTGGTGCAAGTAACACTAAACTTACTATAAGTAATTTTCAAAACTACTGGTAGCGTACAAATATTGCATGCTGATAATATTTCTATTTCTATACCTCATATAATCAATATACCGGTAGTTGTAATGAAACATTTGTCAGTTCAGCCCCGAAACAGACTTATAAATCATTTTTTTAATTTTTGTTTAAAAATACACCTCTCTTTCTTATACTGTAATGGTTTGAATGAATTGTATATTTTTATGTACGAATGAATAAAACTAACTGTAATAATTATTTAAACAGTAATGAATGTACTAGTATTGTAAGCTATAATGAGTATTAAGTACTTTTCCATTAGTTCTTGGTACAGTAGTAGTAAGCACTGCTTCAACTGCAAATGTGCCGCTTCCCTGCATTGGAACGCATGTAAAGCTATGAGATGAGACACCTGAAAGAGTTGAGACCAAGTCACCAAGTGTATGCAAGCAACATTAGCTAGCAGGTAAGTTAAAATCATGCTGTGTATAAAATGTATAAACACATGAGGTGTTACCGATATTATCCATGTGCAACTACACAATCAGTAAGTATGTACCAAATTTCAAATGATTTGAGCAATTACCGAGAAGTATAATTCAAATTGAAAAATTATTGTGCCATTCAATTATTAATTATTAATACTGTAAAATGACTAATTTTCACTGGGTTTAAATTTCACTGATTTACCATTTCAGGCATATTCAGTGGATTTTAAATTCACGGTTTTATCATTTAGATAATGTGTTCTATGCTAAATTTTACATATTCACTGGGTTTTAATTTAGCGTATTTTCCAGTCAGCGAAATAAGCTAAATTAAAACCCAGTGAATAATTAACTCTTTTACAGTATTAGATATTTAGGTACATAAGCAGAATGTATGTGTACCAGTTTCAACCAATGTGATCACACTTATTGTTAGGATACAAACAAAGCAAGCTGAAAGTAACTTAATTAGTATGCAACTTAGTTAATTAAATTGTACAGGTTTATATACTTGTGATCATCAAATATAATACGTGTATCAAATTTTATTTCAATCAAACTAGATGCACTTAAGCATACAGTTGGAACTCAATTTCATTTTATAAATTACAGAAGTAAAATATCCATACAATGGAAACTTGGTAATTACAAGTATTAAAGTTTGATAGATACCCACCAACCTCAAATATTAAACCTCCAAATTTTGATAATTTTAGTCATACTTACATTTATATTTTTTGCCAATTAAAAAAATCAATTAAAACAACTTTCACCATCCCAAATTTGAAATAATTACCAAAACATTTCTTTTTTCATACAATTAGCTATTACATGCCTATGAGCTAATACATCAACATTAACACCCCACTCCCTCAGTAATTCAAATTAATTTTTCTGCCAAGTTTTCCAAAAAAAACAAGAATTTACGTAACCACAATGGAGAATGACCAGACAGGGCCAACACAATTGCACATTCTATCTGTACATAACACATAGCACTACATATGGTACATGTATGACAGGAAGTTATTTTGTAGGTTCTACCAGGGGGTATTGGCAGTTTTCAGTTATACTCCACTGTTATCATAGCTTTAATACTTCAATAGTTCAGTTCCCCACTATTTGGACTTAACACAAACAATTGAGAGCCTAAAAACAAAACAACAGATGCCAAGATGGAGTCACCAAGGTATTAAATCACCGTGCTCAAATATATTCAGAACAGATTTCTTGCATACTGAGCCCCCACATTTCATCATCTGAGCAACTTTAAATTTGCTTGAAGAAATACTTGCTATAGATGAAGAAAATTTGTTTTATATTTAATTATTACTACCACACCATTCGCATTTATTCTTGTCACATGTCACAAAATAATCCTTCTTAAACACTTTGATCAAAACCTGTAGCACAATCAAAATTACTGTAGAATCATGATCTTTTGCGATTTTCCTTGTAGTACATTTTCACAGGTTTTTTATTCACAATTTCCCACCAGAACAAAATCAAAACTGAGAATGAGTGTCTCACGTATAAATTCTAGTCCTATTATGCTGACTGGACATGTGTATCTCACAACGGAAGTGTCTATTAGATTGAGACAGTAGGGCTGCTAATTAGAGCTTGTTGTTTGCTGATTATGTCATTATAATGTACGAACAAGAATACTGCTCAAGATGTGGACACAAAAAGTTTTCTAAAGCATTACTGATTTATACATGCATATTATAGTGATCAAGCACACAAGGCAATATATGTTAATTGAAAATAAAATCATAATAACTGCTAAACTACAAATAACACATGATTGATTATATGAAGGAAGAGTATAAAACCAAATGAAGCTTTGAAAGATCTCCCATATGCTGTGGATATTAATAGTTTGTCGTCTGTGAAGTATCCAGATTACCTATGTTTCAAGCTTCACTTATGTACCGGTATGTTAAGGGTTTTTTGAGATATTTGTGGAACTGCTAATACAGGTATATGTAAAATAGGTTATTAATATTCACAGATTATATCCTAAACCAAACATGCCTGTGGATTTCTCTGGAGAATCTATATGTACTATGTTTTTCATAGAATGAGTGACTGGCTCTTGAGATATGTACCGACAAGGTAACTGCTAAGACTGCGACTGTGTGCTTTGCATACACGAGTCAAAAACACACAAAGAAGATATGTGAAAGCAAAAATTACTTTTTACTTGTGTATAAAAATAATTAAAGAAAGCTTAGAAAGAACTCCTGTGTGCTGAAGGTATTGGAGGCATGAAGTTAGCACCCACGCTTATGTTAGAGCAAATACAACATTTAAAAATATAACTGCAAGCAATGATCTGGGGGGTTCTAAGTACCGGTAGCTATGGTTTAACAATTATAAATACCGGGTATTTAATGAAATAATGACCATATATGATGACTTGATATTTTGGTCGTATATCTTGACAGACAAAATTATAGCACAAGTTGCATGTTCCTAACAGCAACAGTATTTATATCACATTGATTTCAACCCCTAACGAATCAGCTTTGCCCATTATCCCAGGGCATCTATGTACCACTTTTCACCAATGTTGAATGATACTTGAAAAACAAATGAAAATGCCAATGTACCAAGTTGAAACGTTAAGATTAGTACCTGAAACATCAGCAGAAAAGCTGAACATTTACTAATTATACAAATTAGGTAATTAATATGCACGAATATTAATCCAACACTTATCAGGAATGTGCATTGTGTGCATTGTCCTATGACATCTACAGTGTATGTACCAAGTTTCATTTACTAATCATTATGCAAATAAGGTAATTATTAAGTACAGATTTTTAATCAAAACTAATCAGGTCTGTAAATAGTCATAGAGCATTTATGTACCAAGTTTCAGTTTGAGATATCAGTGGAACACATACACATGCACATGCACATGCACACACACATACATACAGGCTAACTGCAAAGAGTCCCATTGTGTGCTTTGCACACAAGAGTCAAAAACATTGCAATTGTTATATATATTTTTGGAGACAACTGAATGCATCAAATATTTGCATAGGCTAATCAGAGTTATCATATAAGGTTGATGTCGGCTCTATGTACCAGGTCATGTAATCATGCAAAACACCAAAATAGCAACAACAACATTCATAATTTGTAATTGAAATTATTGATCTCACTTACCTGCAATGTCAAGTAATTTTTGTCTTATGAAACTAACTGTATTTATAAATTCTGTATCTCTGGAACCCAGATCTTTTAGCAATGCTTGGCGTGTAGTGAGGCTTACACCAAGAGGGCCAGGTGTGAACAGTTTCTTGTTTCCTAATGCTACAATGAAATATAAAATGTGTGTTAAAACAAAGACACTAGTGTCTTTGGTTAAAATGAGTCATTACTGCAAAATCTTTAGGAGTATAATTTGATCCCTCTTCATATTTTCACAAATATATATGTTGAAACATTTTGAAACAGATACTGTATTTGCTTTATTAGAAGCGCATTCCCAATAGAAGCACATATGAACCAGACATTGCATGTGTCATATACTGAATCATTAAAATATGACTTGTTTTTTCCCATAAAAACACACCTTTTTGAAACAGATACTGTATTTGCTTTATTAGAAGCGCATTCCCAATAGAAGCATATATGAACCAGACATTGCATGTGTCATATACTGAATCATTAAAATATGACTTGTTTTTTCCCATAGAAACACACCTTTAAATGTACATAAGCATTAATAAAAGTGCAAATACGGTATTATTCTTATAATGCTAAGACAACATAATCAACTTGCAATACATGCCTCCCTGTCATTTACGTATGCACACACACAACTAATATGTAGTAACTTTAATTCAGGATAGGGTTTGGTCAACAAGGTCTTTAGAATGTTTGAAACAAAAAATTGTAGATTAATTTATTACCGGTATTGTTACTTTAATACCTCAATTTGACATTTTATTTTAGTTTTCAATTTTCAAACTGACATTATGTTTGTCCAATTACTGTGAACGAAAAAAACAAGCCAACCAGCAGTATTGCAATATAGCTCACTGTTTTGCCAACAAAATTTATTTAAGCAAAAGAAACACTGGAATTTTAATTATTTTTTCAAACAAATTTGATGGGATCCATTTTTTGCATTCACATAGTAAATCAACCAATGATTGAAGAAACCTTGCAAAGACTCATGACTTTGAATAATCATTGTTGAATGATTATTTCCAAAAATAAATAAATATTAATGACAAATATAAGAACTTATGAAATGATAAAACATAATTGGTATGAACAAAATTCTACTATTTCACTCTAGACTCAGAAATAATTCATCGCTGCTAATACCAGTGTATAAGGCAATTAATCAGAAAAAAACAATTAAAAACATAATAAAAGTCCTTACAATTTGGTGAAAGATGGTTCTGCTCACACGATCCAATAGTACTATTTGAATTGTCCATATGCAGCATATTGACTGAAAAATAAAAATAGAGTGAGTGAGTTTTAGAAATATATATATTGATATATATACATACATGTATTTAAAGTGAGATATGCCTAGTTGATTTTTGACTCCCTAGCTCTATTGAGATTACCAATTTGGTAATTCTACCTTTTCTTCTAATTTTTAATGCAGTATGATATGGATTAATTTGTTTCTTCCAGGTGAACCTGCCGACAGAACTTCAGGGTGAATCTGTATTATACAAATAGCATTTGCTTTTGATGTTTTTGTACCTGGAATAGGTTGTTTGTGTTTAAACACATTTAGAAACTTTTTTGAAAAGTCATGAGTACCCATGATCAAATTCAAGTGCCTGATAGGCTGCCTGTTTTTAAAGCTGGTATTCCCTTGGTTGTATTAGGTAGCCCATCAGGTTTGGTAGGCACATTTTTTTATTCAATATGAAATATGGTTGGGGAAAAAACGACAGAAAACATGCAAAAATGGGAATTCAGAATAAAGATTCAATAAATAGCATTCTTCTGAATTTCCCAATAATTGGAGGTAAACATAAGTACCGGTACCCATCTTATAACTATAGTTACAATCCCAAATGAAATTTTGAAAAACCTTTTAAACATAGAACCCAATGATAAATGGCTCAACTTTTTGTGTGTGCTATACGTAATTTGGTGACCATACCTTTTATTTTACAATTTAAACCATATGGTAAAAGTCAAGGAGATCTCTGGCAACAAGTTTTACACCACCAGACTTTCTCATCAAAATTTTTCTGCACTTTTTTTCTAATATTCTTCAATATTTCTGGATATGAACCCTAATTTTGCCAACAGACAAAATTTGAGTCACATTTCAGTTTTTACTATTTCCCCCCCAATCTATAATCTAAAGGAAAGTGCATAAAAAAGGACTATACTGTGAATTTTTGATGAAAAGAGGGAACTGGTGGTGAAAAGGTTAATGGTAGCCAAATATGGATATGAATATATGAAACGAATATTCATGAATCTAATGTGTATCAGAATGTACTATTCAAAAAACATTAGCAAATCAAATTTGAAGAATCAATCAAAGGAGATTTTGTATTTTTGTAAGATGATGATACAAATTGGACAATAAAGTTAATTGATTTAATTACAACAAAGCAATGTAATTTTTTTTCAGTTGGCAGGACAATCAAAATGAGTTGGCGTGGCGGTGGTATACGATCAATTTGTAAAATATAGGTGATTTACCTGTGAGTATTTGGTGTGACTTCTTCCAGTTACATGGACCAGTTGTCGTTCGTGATGTTTGCAGACGACGTCGAACAAGGCCGGGTTTTCACAGCACGAAACAGGTAAAATCACATAAAAAAATGAACGTGTGTGATGTACGGATAAGGTAGCTATTTAGGTCACACACATATAACGAGAATTATATCTCACAATCTGCCAATCTTTTTGGTCAAATACATGTCAAAGTCGCACGTCAACACCAACTTCATCCTCTTCCCCGAGCTAAATAATTTACCAATTTACTATAACGGATATATTACTCAACCTCACTGCTATCTGTAATTTTACAATTAAATTTCGTAATAACAATAAATAATAGATAATAAAGATAAATGTTGAAATAATTAATATAATATCATTAATATTATATAGCTGTAGAAATATACCGGTTCAACACAATTAACCTTTCAACTTTGAACTTATCGAGAAACGGGTCAGATTTTACGCATGCGTAGTTTAATTCCGCCATTTTGGAGGCAACACGAGAAAGTAAGAAAATATTATTCACAAGTGGACAAAATATTAGAATAATATATCATGAGTTCTATCGGTACTGGGGTAAGTATGTAGTGAATACGTGTATTATTAAAATGGGTAATTTATCAATGAACATCTCAGAGAACGAGTCCTGTGTATTAACAAAGCGTCATTGATGCAGCATGACTTCGCATGATCAAGCAAAACATTCAAGAGCGTCAGTCTCGGACTGTGGTTAACAAGTCTGTCGGTAGTACTCGTATGTTGTTTTGAATAATCACTTGTACACATCGAATATGTTGCAGCCTCCCATTAGAACTGTTAAATTCATTCTGAGTAAAGGTCCGAACCATTAGAATCAAAAAATAATTTAGTAGTTTTTTTTTCACACCTTCACCTGTTGAAATTTGTCAATGTGTTACACTGTTTTTATTTTTATTTACAGTATGATCTTTCAGCCTCTCAATTTTCTCCTGATGGCAGGGTATTTCAAGTAGAATATGCAATCAAAGCTGTTGAAAATAGTGGGTGAGTATGTGTATAGCTATAGGAGGGAATTATCTTGAGTTAGAAAAATGATATTTGACAAAGATTTTGTCAACTCCACAAGAACTAAATATTGTAAACTTAACATGTATAATATTGGTTATTTCACATGATTTCAGTGTTCCGTAATTTAATTAATTAATCGTGCATGAAGATGTTTGATGCAGACAAACAAAAAACTAAAAAAAGCGACAGACTAATTTATAACTCTTGTGAAGTTGACATTGCTTTGCAAGGACTTTGGTAAGGTAATAGTCTACAAAAAGAAATGAGATAGTGCCCGATCTTTTTTTTCAGCATAAAACATCTTTCCTAACCTATCACATTTTAGAAGTTTTGATAAATAAACAATGTATTCTATATTGCAATGCAGCTGAATTGAACCTACTGCTCAAACTGATTGACACTTGATCCACACATGTGTGCTAATAATTGCTGATATTTGTGTCTATTACTTCAGAACTGCTATTGCTATACGTGGTAAAGATGGGATAGTTTTTGGTGTTGAAAAACTTGTCTTATCCAAATTATATGAAGTCGGGGCAAATAAAAGAATATTTCATGTTGATAAGCATGTGGGCATGGTAAGTCTATAAAACCTTATTGAGAGATGATCACTTCCCCATCAGAGACTTCCAGTTTTATGGTACTTTACTGAATTACCTAGCATAATACTGATGTAGACTATGTGATCTTGGTTAAAACCTGTTCAATTATTTGTTTTCTTAGGCAGTTGCTGGTCTCCTTGCAGATGCACGGCAGGTATGTTTTGTAGTCGGAGGTACTGTTGCCATTACAGCTCATCAAAATTGACAGTCCGCTTCATACTTTTTGCCTTTTTTCTTACATGTATTCTTGTCTCATACATTACTATTTCTTTTTGGCAGCTGCTATTTTGGCAGTAACCAACTACTCAAAAACCTGACAAGACAATCATATTTTTCTTTTCTTTTTAAGATTGTAGAAACTGCCAGAGATGAAGCAGCAAATTACAGATCAACCTATGGATCACCCATTCCACTTAAGGTACTTCTTCGTCAAGAGCATGGGTGTGAATCTGCCCTCTTGTGGAAGGCAGTGTATCAAAATTGACAGGTGTATGACTTATTGTTGGTAAAGTATCAAAATTGACAGGTGTATGACTGCCCTCTGCAGGCAGATTATCAAAATGGACAAGTGTAAGACTGCCCTCTTATGGCAGATTTTCAAAATTGACAGGTGTAACTACCCTCCTATGGCAGGCAGATTGTAAAAATTGACAGGTGTAACTGCCCTCCTATGGCAGGCAGATTGTAAAAATTGACAGGTGTAACTGCCCTCCTATGGCAGGCAGATTGTAAAAATTGACAGGTGTAACTGCCCTCCTATGGCAGGCAGTTTATCAAAATACACGAAGACTGCCCTTTTTATAGCAGGTTGAACACAATATGGACAGGTGTATAACTGCCCTCTTTGGCAGGCTGAGTAAAGCATGATTATATGGACAGTTTGGAATACCAGTAATTAGTTCATCAGAAGTTATATTCTTTTTATGATGTTCACCACTTCTATTGAACATAGGTGAGGTCTTTCAATAAAAAAGGAATACGCAAAACAATTTGTTTATACATATATAGTAGGTATTATATCTCATAAAAAATATAAAGATTTAATGTATTGCCTTGTGACTCTCCTGATATAATTGATGTGTTTCTATTTCAGTATCTCACAGACAGAGTAGCTATGTATATTCATGCATACACACTTTACAGTTCAGTACGACCATTTGGATGTGGGTAAGAATTAACTTAATATTTTATAGTTTTTTGAGGTTCAACCCTCACTTGTGTAATGGTAAAATCTGGAATTGTTATAAGTTGTATGTTCCAAAATGTGTGGTAAACTTGATGTATTAAATCCTAGATTAATGAGCTAAGAAATCTGCAATAATAAAACCGTAGTAATAATCCATCTCCATCTCTTGTAGAGTTATATTAGGGTCTTATGAAAATGATGGTCCACAGTTGTATTCAATAGATCCATCAGGTGTCTCATGGGTAAGTAGACATGAAATTATTCAAGAATAAATGCCTTGGGTGCATGAGTGCTCTATTGTTACACAACAGTATTTGAAAAAGTTGCAATAATTTGTTGGATGTTCCCAAAACTGCCATTGCTAAAATATTGCAGCTTAAGGGGTAAGCTTTAGACATTTTGATGGAGACTGGGTAATTTGTCATCTGTTTGAACACATCAGATATACATGTATCTATATATCATTGTAACTTCTTGCCTTCAATTAGGGCTATCATGGATGCTCGACAGGTAAAGCCAAACAGGCAGCCAAGACTGAAATAGAAAAACTGAAAATGCAGGATATGACCATGAAAGAGTTAGTCAAAGAAGTAGCAAAAATGTAAGTTATTATATATTCTGTTTTGCAATTTAGGTCTAGACGATGTGTTGACCATTGGGGTTTCTCTTGAAACTTGGAGATCATTGTATACAACTTTGGTGGTTGATGACAGCTCAAAATGCTATTGACTATTTTTCAATGCTATTTACCACTCCACAATGCTATTGACCCCTCTACAATGCTATTGACCACCCTACAATGATACTGACCACTGTACAGTGCTAGTAACCACTCCACAATGCTATTGACCACCCCACAATGCTATTGACCACTCCACAATGCTATTGACCGCTCTACAATACTATTGACCACTCTACAATGCCATTGACCAGTCTACAATGCTATTGACCACTCCACAATGATAATGACCACTCCACAATGATATTGACCACTCCACAATGCTATTGACCACTCCACAATGCTATTGACCACTCTACAATACTACTGACCACTCCACAATGATATTGACCACTTTACAATGATGTTGACCACTTTACAATGCTATTAATAATTTCAATAGGCCATTGACCTGTCTACAATGCTATTGACTACTCCACAATGCTATAGACCTGTTCCAATTAGCAATGGTGTTAATACATACTCATAGTTTCTACGAGTTATTATGTTTAAACTCATTGTTTGTGAACTTA